AGAATGATTTGGGGGAAAACTTAAAGTTTTCATAATATATATTCTTTCGTCTCGAGAGAAACACGAGGCGTGGGTGGTTAGGGCTACTACTACTTTTGGTGAAATTTATTTGGGTCGGTAACCAGTCCGGCAATGACATACTCCGGTAGACATCCCGGGCTTTTATTTGAGGATCAAAGATCCTTTGGTGGTCGTAGTAGTAGTTACCTAATTTACCCTTGGACAATGTCCCTTGTGAGTAGGTGGTAGAAAACATCCTGCCTACTTGGGTTTCTTACTACTCGGAGGGCTTGGAATCCCTTTTAGAGGGTCAGAGTGCACCCACCTACACAGCAACAAGAAGGGAGGAGGAGGAGAGATGACCAAGGTGGAAGAAATTTCCACGGTCAAAACCAACAAAATGATCGAAGAGTTTCTCCCAGAGATAGACACTTCTACTGCAAGAGGTGCGGGAGAGATCATCCCGGTGTTAATTGCGATGGAAGCCTGACAAAATGTTTCAATTGTGGGAAGCTAGGGCACCGAACCTTCGAGTGTCTCTCAAAGACCAATGGGGCACCAGTGCACCAGGTGCAATACCGTGATGGAGGAAGGCCAGATATGAACCAAGCTGGGCCAAATGGAGGACAAAATAACAACAACAATGCCGCCTCCAACAACAACAACCGCAACCCTCGAGGAGGAGGGGGAGAATAATCGTGGCAATGGCAATGGCGGGAACAATGGCAACGGCGGGAAACAACGGCAACCGTCCGAACCAAGGGCGAATCATGGTGATGAATCAGGCCCAAGCCAATGCTAATGATGTGGTTTCAGGTACATTCCTTGTAAATTCTGAGCCTGCTTATGTTCTATTTGATTCTGGTGCTTCTCACAGTTTCATATCTTCTAGTTTCGTTAAGAAATTGAAGATTGAACCAACGGCTAGAATAGACTTGAATGTAAGAACTGCCTCAGATAAATTCGTAACTTGTGGAAATGTATACTCCAACATTTCCATACTCATATCCGAATCCAACCTACCTGGAGATTTAATCCAATTTGACTTAAAAGATATAGACATAGTGCTGGGCATGGATTGGTTGGGGAAATACAAAGTCAGGATCCTCTGTGATGAACAGAAGGTGATCTTGAAGGGTCCAAATGGGAAGCGAATATCTTACAAAGCAATCACATCCAAGCCTAGTATGAGGCTGATGACTATGCAACAATTAAGGCGACATATCCGAAAGGGGTATGAAACATACATGTGCTTTATGAAAGAGGTGAATACAGGGGAGCCAAACATTTACCAAATTGCCGTAGTAAATGAATTTCCGGATGTATTTCCGGAAGAGATTCCAGGGATGCCACCCGAGAGAGAAGTTGAATTCTCAATTGAGCTGATGCCCGGAACCGCGCCAATTTCAAAAGCACCTTACCGGATGGCACCGAAAGAAATGCAGGAGCTGAAGGAACAACTAGAGGAGTTGTTAGAGAAGGGGTACATAAGACCGAGTGTCTCACCTTGGGGCGCTCCGGTCTTATTTGTCAAAAAGAAAGATGGGAGTCTAAGGCTATGCATCGATTACCGAGAGTTGAATCAAGCAACTATCAAGAACAAGTATCCATTGCCCCGAATTGACGACTTGTTTGATCAATTGAAGGGGGCTAGCACATTCTCTAAGATAGACTTGCGCTCTGGATATCATCAAGTGAGAATATCCGAAAAAGATGTACCAAAAACAGCATTCCGCACGAGGTATGGACACTACGAGTTCATTGTGATGCCGTTTGGTTTAACAAATGCACCGGCGGTATTCATGGACTTAATGAACCGTGTATTCCGACCTTATCTTGATACATTTGTGGTGGTATTCATCGATGATATTCTTGTGTATTCAAAAACCCCGGAGGATCACGAGAAACACTTGAGACTCACGTTACAAACTTTGAGAGAGAACCAGTTGTATGCCAAACTCTCAAAGTGTGACTTCTGGCAGGATCGGGTAGCGTTCTTGGGTCACATCATCACCCAGGAAGGCGTATCCGTAGATCCATCGAAGATTGAAGCGGTGGTTGAATGGCGTGCACCTACCTCGGTCACAGAGGTAAGAAGTTTCTTGGGTCTAGCGGGATACTATAGGAGATTTGTTAAAGATTTCTCCAAGATAGCAAGACCGCTAACCAATCTGACAAAGAAGACAACCAAGTTCCAATGGAATGAAGATTGTGAAGCAGCATTCCAAGAGTTGAAGAAAAGACTCACAACTGCACCGGTCTTGACACTACCGTCAGGGACGGAGGGATTTGATATCTATAGTGATGCATCCAAAAAGGGGTTGGGGGTGTGTGCTAATGCAAAATAGGAAAGTGGTGGCTTATGCATCAAGACAACTAAAGGTGCATGAAGTCAATTATCCTACCCATGACCTGGAGTTAGCTGCAGTAGTGTTTGCTTTGAAAATCTGGAGACATTACCTATACGGAGCACATTGTAAGATATACACTGACCACAAAAGCTTGAAGTACATATTCACTCAAAAAGAGCTTAACATGAGGCAAAGAAGATGGCTCGAGCTTATCAATGATTACGATCTAGAAATCCAATACCACGAGGGAAAAGCTAACGTGGTGGCGGATGCTTTGAGCCGGAAATCTGAGCACTCATGCCGAGCAACATGGATATTACCAGAAGAACTATTCCGAGACTTCCAAAGATTGAGCTTGGAAGTAAAGCAATATGGCGAAGTAGATGGTGAAATACAGTTATGTACTATGACTGTTATACCATCTATCTTTGACGAAATCAAGAACGGACAACCGGGAGATGTAAAGCTCGAAAGAATCAAGGTAGGAATGAAAGATGGCGTCAACGGACCATTTAAGGTACATGAAGATGGGAGCATCCGATACAAGGGAAGGTGGTGTGTTCCACTGAAGTGTACAGATATTAAAAAACAAATCATGGAGGAGGGACACAACACGCCCTACTCGGTACATCCCGGGGGAGACAAACTATACAAAGACCTCAAAAAGAACTTTTGGTGGCCGGGAATGAAGAAAGAAGTAGCTGAATTTGTATCCCGATGTTTGAACTGCCAAAAAGTCAAAGCGGAGAGATGCAAACCCAAGGGACTCGTGCAACCCTTGGAAGTACCAACATGGAAATGGGATTCAATCTCAATGGACTTTGTCGGGGGTTTACCTTTAACAAAGTCCGGGAAAGATAAAATTTGGGTGGTAGTGGATAGATTGACCAAAACTGCAAGGTTCATTCCTATGAATGAAACCTGGAGCATGGAGAAACTGGCAAAAGCCTATGTCAAACACGTGGTCAAACACCACGGAGTACCTCAAGACATCGTATCAGACCGAGATTCACGATTCTTATCCCAATTTTGGAAAGAATTACAAACGGCTATGGGAACAAAATTGAAGTTAAGTACTGCTTTCCATCCAACCACGGACGGACAGACCGAAAGAACAATCCAAACATTAGAAGACATGTTGAGGGCATGTGTTCTTGATTTGCAAGGATCATGGGATGAACACCTAGACTTGGTAGAGTTTTCGTACAATAACAGTTACCATGCTAGCATCGGAATGGCCCCATACGAAGCTCTATATGGTCAAAAGTGTAGGAGTCCCTTATGTTGGGGTGACATGGTCGATCAGGTGGTTCTAGGACCACAATACTTGCAAGATACTATTGAGAAAATCAAGGTCATCCAAGAAAGGATGAAGGCTGCCCAAGACCGACAGAAATCATATGCCGATCTTGGGAGAAAACCAGCTGAATTCGAACTAGGGGAGAAAGTTCTACTCAAAGTCTCTCCTACAAGAGGCGTAATGAGGTTCGGGAAGAAAGGGAAACTAAGTCCGAGATTCATCGGACCCTATGACATCCTAGAGAAGGTGGGAAAAGTGGCATATCGATTAGCTCTACCCACGGAGTTGGATAAGGTAACAACCGATTTGAAATCAAATACTTCTCTACGATTAAAATACATTCTTAACATACTGATATATGCTAGGTACATAACGTCTTTCACGTATCACAATTAAAGAAGTATGTTCGAGATGAGTCACATATCATCAATCCGGAGGTAAGAAATCCTAGACTTAACATGAGCCAAACGTAAACTGAAAAGAATATAAGTTAACCGTTATATTATTAGGTGATTGAAATGGATGAGACATTATCCTACGAAGAAAAACCCATAGAGATTCTCGATACTAAGACCCGAGAGACAAGGAAGAAGACAGTTAAGATGGTAAAAGTACTTTGGTCAAACCATTTGACTGAGAATGCAACATGGGAAACAGAAGAGGATATGCGTAAACGGTATCCTGAACTTTTCAATTAAGGTAAATATTCGGTTACGAGGACGTAACCTTTCTTTTAGGGGGGCAGGTTGTAATACCTTATAAACCTATAATACTTCATCTTCATACTTAATTCTCGTCTTAGTTTATGCTTCGAGGACGAAGCATTCTTTAAGGAGGGTAGAATGTGATACCTTGAAAATTTGAAATAAAAATAAATAAATAAATCAGATAAGTTATATCTGATAAATCAAATGAAAGTAAGATCAAAATATATTTTTTATTATACTTGGTGTATAAAAATATACGCACACTACATGCAATAGAATTAAACACTTATGTAGCATCGGAAAAAAAAAAAAAGGAAATAAATCAGATAAAATATAGGTGACAGAATGAATAAATAAATAAATAAATAAATCAATAAATAAATAAATAAAAATAGTAAGAATATTATAAATTACTAATAATAGCATCAAATTAATAAATGAAAATATCATATCATAAAACAATGACACATGCTAAGATCACCTACCAAATAATGTATATACATTATGTACATATATTTAAATATATATATTTATATGTAAAACTCAAAATACATTTAAGTAATTAAAAATAATAATAATAAAATAAAATAAAATGAAACATCAATATAAATGGGAATCACATCAGGGATCAATACACATGCCATGTTCATCAACTACCAACCTATCATTATGTATAGACATTATTATTTTTATTATTATTATTATTATTATTATTATTATTATTATTATTATTATTATTATTATTATTATTCATACAATTATCAAATAAATAAAATAAACCATAAGGACCATCTAGACCTATAAATACACCCTCTTAGCCATCCTAAACACTGCAAATCGGAGAGATAGAAGCTATATATACATATACATATATATACATAATCTCGCCGGAAAATTCATGCCTATAATATTTTACGTATCAAACTTCGTAAAAACGATAGAGGAGGGTCGTGAGAGGTCTAGGAATACTTCCCAATAAATTCCAGACCGATTCATAGTCACCGGAGCATCCTAGAGGTCGCCGGAGTTGCAAGCCGTGGAAACGGGTCTTCAGAAAAGACACGATTTTGCCGTAGATAGGGGTGGCGGAGCTTCTACTCGACGTGAGGATCATTTTGCAACTTGAATCGTCGAAATCCGTTACCTGTAAGTAAAGTTATCGCTCGCCGGAGTTTACGGGATTCCGGTCGCCGGAATCGCGACCTGGAGAAGAGCTGGGAAGGAGACAACCCAGTCTTCTTGGGCCGGGTCGCGAATTTGGGCCGGTTCGGCCCGTTTTCAATAAAAAATTAAAAATAAAATAGTAAATGAAATAAATAAAATCTGGAAAAATATAAATTAAATACCTGGTATAAAAATACATATTCGGACCAAGAATAATTGAAAAATAATATTTGTAGCTATTTTTAATTGATTTAATTGTAATTGGGCCAAGTTGTACACATTTAGTAAATAATTAACTAAATGACGAAAATAATTATGAAATAAATATGGGAGCCAGCTAGATTAAATATATGACTAACTAGGACATTTGTGACCATTTATAATTAATAAAAATTATAATTAGCATATTTAATTGTAATTAAACCGGTTAATAGATATATGAAATTAAGTGAATAAATAAAGGAAATAACTCTAAAATACATATCTGGACAACCTAGGTCAAGTATAGACCCAAACTATAGTTATGGATGATTAGTAATTTATAAAAGTGATGATTAAGTTATTTAATTTAATTGAGCCATATAAACTAGTTAAGTAATTAAATAAGGAAATTTTGATATTAATGGTGAAATAAATAAATCACTAAGATTGAAAATAATGTTCTGGACTAAAAATGATGTTTGTAATAAAATAAGGAAAAGAAAATAAAGTTGGGTTATCTAGTATAAATGAATGACTATATTTGGACTTAATAAATAAATTATTGAATTAGTTGACTAATTAAATTAGCGTGCTTAAATTAATAATTATTATCCTTGATTATTAGTGATTTGGACTCCATATAAATTATTAAACTATTTGAACTCATAAAAAATTAGTTGATGAATATAAACAAATTAATTAAGTAATGTGTACTTAATAAGTTAGTTAATTGACTTCATTGAACTAGTTTAACTAAATCAATTAGTTTAATGGATAAATTAGTTAATTTATAGACTTGATAACATTTCTGGACTTTATATTAAAAATAGAAAATTAAAACGAGATTAGAATTTGATTATTGGACTTAATTGAATTAGATTAACGTATTTAGCTATATTGATATAATTAAACTTATTTATTTGATTTAGTTAGTTCAATTAAATTAGTGAGTCAAATAAATAAAACTGGAGGATTGTATAAATTAATTTAATTGGGTTAGTAGTATAAATAAACTATTGAACTAATTAAAGTTGTTATTGAGATTAGATTATCATTAATGATTATTATTTCGAATTATTGCCTAAGTCAAGTTATTATTAAAAGGGTTAGTAAATAAATTATATAAATTATGTAAACTGAATTTTGAACTGAAATTGATTATTTAAATTCGAAATAATGAAATTATTATGAAGTTAATATAATTGGACCAGTAAACTATTTAACCAAACAAATTAAGAAAAAACCGAGTTGGGTTATTATAATTAAAGAAAATAATAAGAATGAACTGGAAATAAACAGTTAGTAAGATTTATTAAATTAATATTTATATTTAAAGAAGGAATTATGAAGTTAAAGTAGTTAAAGGTTGGATATAAAAGAAATAACGAAATAATAGAATAGTTATTGATTTAGAATTTTGATCAATATTAGAAGGAGAATTCAAGTGAAGATCAAGCTAGAGATTTTATTAAGGAGATTATCGCAATTTAAGGTAAGTTCTATGTCAACCAAAATGTTTTGCCTCGTACTTATATGTATGCAATATTTGCACTATGTGAATTATTTATGAATTGGAAATTATATGTTTGACATGGATCGAATATTTTGACTATATGAATATTGGTGGATTACTACCTTTTATGGATGATTAAATGTATATTCTTTTTATTAAAGAATATTGGTGGATTTATATTTATTACAAAGGATATTTTGAGAAAATGTGACAAGAATGATTTGGGGAAAACTTAAAGTTTTCATAATATATATTCTTTCGTCTCGAGAGAAACACGAGGCGTGGGTGGTTAGGGCTACTACTACTTTTGGTGAAATTTATTTGGGTCGGTAACCAGTCCGGCAATGACATACTCCGGTAGACATCCCGGGCTTTTATTTGAGGATCAAAGATCCTTTGGTGGTCGTAGTAGTAGTTACCTAATTTACCCTTGGACAATGTCCCTTGTGAGTAGGTGGTAGAAAACATCCTGCCTACTTGGGTTTCTTACTACTCGGAGGGCTTGGAATCCCTTTTAGAGGGTGTGCACACTTAAGGTAGAAATTCAGCTTCCAATTGGTGGTCGGTGGGAGCCGGAATTCCGGGATGAGTCGTAGATAACAACGACTCATTGGGCTCGAGGAATCTTGAGTTTCGCCCACTCTTAAAAGAATCTAAAGTATTACTTTTGGAGGAATTGAAGGATGATCTTATCTATTGTGGAAATTATTTTATGACATTAAACCATTTTGGAAATATGAGAGACTACTTTTCGATATATATACATATACAAAAACCTATTTTCCAAATTATATTATTTTACGGGTTCGGGTGGAATCTTACTTAGCTCTAAAGCTAATTTTTGTCTCTTTTCTCTTTTTCTCTTTGCTCTATTGTACAGATGATTATGATTATGAAGATTGATGTACTTGCTGCCCGAGTGTTCCGCTAGTTGCACACGTTTGATTAATTATTGTTGTTTAAAATTGTAATCCATAAACTTGTTTTAAGTTTTATCCGATGGCTACTTGAATTTATGGTGGATAGCCTGTGCACTCAATCATGTATAGGTTGAGTGTGGCGGTGACACACCTGTTTTTCCATTAAAGACTTCCGCTGTACTCTAAATGTGTTTTATAATAAAGATGTTTTCATTTCAAAATGTTATTTTATTTTGGTGGGAAAAATGGGGGTGTTACAGAAGATCACCTCAGGCAATTCTGACGGGAAGCCCCGTTCAACTTGCACAGACAATTAGGGACAGTGTATACAAAAGGTG